TGCAAAAAGTGTACAACAGCTCATCTTACCTACTTCTCACATACTTCTGAGGTCTGCAAATCAGAATTAGAAAGCAAGTTGTGCTTAAGTTGTAATAGAAAGTCATAAAATAAAGAAAAAATCAACTGATGCAACTTGGTGGTATAACCTGACAATAATTAATAGAATAGTTAGAAAAGACTTTTACATTCCTAGTGCTGTTCCAAATTATATTACAATAGCCAACAAAAATAGGCATATAAAAGAATAACAATAAACCAACTGGTGAAAGACTGTCTCTCACTCATATTAAAACAGAAATTTTCACTCTTTTTTGTTTTGTTAACACTAGCTTTTGATTACACTAATAAAAAAATACCAGAAGAGATATACAGACCTAACCACCAATTTCAATTAACTTGAAAAAGGAATCAAAACATTTTGACTACATATAAAACGGTCTGTATACTGGGAAATATCTTTATGATTACTACTATGTTAGCCTGCCTGGTTGTTTCATTCCTATCGCCAGTCTCAAAGTAAGCCAATTTCAATGCCCAGTGAACCTTCCACTGTCCTGGGACTAGCAGCAATGGTTTAATTACGAGCTACAACCTCGTGGTACAACCACAGGCTCACTACTGAGTAAACCCCCAGCAGTGATCATATACTCACACCTCCCTTTCTACTTTATTCCAGGGATCTCATATTTTTCAATGTACAAACTCCTTATCTAGTCACTGTTCAGCAAAGCTATATGTATCTACTTTAAAAACCTCACAAGCCATCCTCCAGGCTCTTTATAATCCAATTTCTTGTATGAATTATTTCAAAGTATGTTGACATTTTTCAGTATCAAGATGCCAGGAACCATACATAGTCTTTGAGATATGGGAGAACCAATTGCTAGCAGATATAGGTAGCACCTTTCCAATAACCAGCCTGAAGAGGCACTGAAGATAATGCTATCTTAACAGTTTAGTTGGTCTAAAAGCAAGAACACTTTTATATTCTCTTCTCTATAAATGCATAAAAAGTCTTAGTCACTTGTTATAACTACACATCAGTGGGAGTCTTCTGATCTTTTTTTCTTCAGAATAAAGAAGTACAGTACTTCAATTTTAACTAAAGCAGCTTTCCGAGGGAAATAGGCACAGTAACTTATTTCATTCTCCACAGAGTCAATTATATAGCTTCAATTTACCTTGCACCACAATCAGGCAATGTGCTCTCACTCTGGTCTAGCACTAAGCTTTGAAATCTCAGGAGCTCAAGTCAAAAACTTAATCTAATTTCTTCTCTGTGGATATTTCTTCTTTCAACTATAAAGGAATCATTACACAATGACAAGTAGACAGCTCAAAACACAGCTCAAAGCTGCCATCTCTAGGTATTACATTTTACTACTCTTCACACTAAATTATTTTCGGGTTTGGATTTTTTTCAAGAGAATGAATATCTGAATGGAAAATTATCAAAGATTGATCCTAACAAGTTAATTCAAGAACTCATTTCAAAAGGATGTACTTTTTCACGTGAAATTTTTTCAGCTTACATGATCACCTCTTTCTGGTCCATGTAATTTTTGACATAATCACTAGTACAATCAACATATTAATTAATTATTCAACATGAGTGTTGTTGTGTTCATTATTAGTGAATTCTAATTACTAATTAACAGGAGACTCCTACAAAAGCAACAGCTTCTTCACTACACGCTTGTAGCTTTCATTAGTATTAACAAGACTTGCATTTCCTCAGCAAGATCCATAAAGATCTCTGAATTGACACAGGCCTATTATATCTAATACTTGCTGGTAAAAGTATCCCTAAAAGGGTTACCCTTTAGTCTGGAATATCTCAAGAAAAAATTAGCACTGTCAAATATAAAGGTTAAATGATACTTTAAGCTTTTATTCTAAACTGCTAAATGATACATTACTTGAATGTTTCCCAACTAAAAGGCCCACATTCTACAAGAACTGTAATAACCAAAGATACCGGTCAGAAAGATCTGACCTTTCAAAAAACAGATAATACATTAGTAATGAATCAGAGATCCAAGGAGAAGAAAAGCAATTTTTGAGCTGATGTTAGGACAAGCACAAAATCTTGTTCATATTGCTACTGAAAAAACACCTTTATCATATTACTCATGCCAGTGCAGCTTCAACATCTCTGGAAGAGCAACAGATGCCAGGAATAAAACAAAAACCAAAAAATCCACCCACACCTACAATTCTGCTTAACAGAACAGAGAGAACACTATACAAAAGGAAGACCAACCGTAAAAAGAAACTAAAAGGATAAAATCTGTAATGACAGTATGAAGACATTTTAAGGATATCTGCTCAGACCACATGAATGCTTCCCTATTTAAAAATCCCAAAACTTCCCATTATAAATAGCAAAATTAATACAGCTTAAATTAACAGGGGGATAATGAAGACTGTTAGAAGGTAAAGCATACTTCAAAATAAAGGTTCAAAAACTCCAGCAGATTAAAATGCAGAGACATATAAGGCAAGCCATAAAACAGTTTAATGAGCTGTCTGCAAAATTGTACATAAAGTTCTAATACATCATTTTTCAAATGCATTAGAAATACAGCCAACCAGATAATTCGTGGTGCCAACAGACAGTCTGAAGGAGTATTCTGAGAAGACAAAGCCACAGCAAAAAACGAAGTTAATTTGCCCATGCAAGTTCTTCATGGTAGACTTTACATGTATTTCCACAGCAGAAATTAATAACAGAAGGACATAGTAAATGCCTTAAAGATACCAAGATGCTCTGGGACAAGCAAGGCAGATAACACAAGGGTAAAATATTTGATAAAGAAGAGTTTAGGGGGAAAATGGTCACTTCTTAAATGAATAGGGGTCATTGCTGGTGTCCCACAAGAGAGCCACAGTCAGGATTCGTTTGTTCACCTTATTTTTTATATATTATGTTTAACATATAAAACAATCTGGCACAGGGATGATTGGAAAAATGACAATACTGCATTGCTCAAAATAGTTTAGACAATTGTCAAAAGCAAAGAATTGTAGAAGAATCTCGTAAAACTGCATGTGCGACACAAGGATGAATAAAGGGCAAATAAAAGTTGACACAGACAAGCATGAAGTGATGCACATGAATAAAAAACAATTTCGAGTCTGTACATATGGAGGTTGGTTTTGAATTGACTAGGATGAGATCTTGATGTTATAATTGATAGTTCTTTGAAAACACCAGTTCAAAACCAACAGCAGATTTTTAAAACACTAAATAATTAAGAATTAATAGAATTAAGTCTATTTTTTTTTTCTTATGATATCAATCTGAGGTACCAAATTACCAAAGACTGTGATTCCCCTAATCTCAGAAGGGATATAAGAGAATTAGAAGAGGTAACAGCAATGACACAATGTTATCTAAGGTATGAAAAAGCTTTCTTCTGGAAGATTATTAAAAAAGCAAGGCATTTTTAGCATTAAAAAGAAATTACAAAAGAGATTATATGACAGTCTCACAGAAAATCATAAGTGGTACAGAATAAAAGAGAAGGAAAATAGCATAAGAACTAGGGATTATCAAAATTAAACCAGCGAGCACTGGTTTCTCAAAAGGTGGTATTCACAGAACACACTGGAATTTTTAGACATGGGATGGTGTCAGTGCTAAAATAAATATATGGTCTGAAAACTTGGAAAGAATAAAAAACACAGACTCATAATGTTTCCACAAAAGTACTATCCTATCTTAGAAAATCTCAGCTGCAGACTAGGACAATATTGTGTGGAAGCTTCTCTATGTTCTTGTCATTTCTTATATTCTTCCCTAGGCGTTTGCTGCTATCCATTACTCAAGATACGTTACCAGGCCAGATGTACACTCTGGTCTGACTTGATACAAACTTTTTTGGTTTTCCTAACTGGAGATGTCCTGTGCAAACAAGAGAAAATTTGGGATATAAATTCTGTATTTCTCTGTCACAGTTAACAAGTTTGCCATCATCTGTACAAGGCTAAATTACACACTGCATTCACTTTTGGTTCTGTTTTGGAGCCATGACTAACACTAGCCAAAAGTTAACAAATGAACAAAAAGCTTTTTTTTAATAAGGATCTTCTCTGTCTCTTTATTCTATCAGTATAAAGAATCCTTTTATTCTCCTTTTCCTTAGTGAGATAGGCTTTTGAAAGTGCTTTCAATAAAGCAGCATGCAGACTACACGATATCAGTAGAAGCAAAACTTCCAGTAGTTGACATTTATTTAAACTTCCAGTCAAATAATACTATTGAACAACAGTTCACATTTTAATACTAGTCTCGTTCTTTACTAAGAATAAAACAAATAAAATTGTATTTCGTACTGTCATGGTCCTCAGGGCATTCACAGGCCTTAGTGGCCCTGACCAGCCTCACCAGCAGTTCAGCCAGGGACCCTCAGTCCCTGACTGCTTGTGATCCCGCCTCCTAGATGGACCTGGACCTGTGCTGCAGGCAGCTTGTCTACTGATTAGACCCCTCCAGCATACCTTACAGCCTTCTCTCCAGCCCCATCTCTGGCTATGTCTCATTCTTTCCTGACTGAACTCGCTGGACCTGGGTCACCACTTGCCATATCAGGAGTTGTCAACAGGACCCTGCTACCAGCACCCAGCTCTATGTGCCGGGCTCAGCCTCTGGGGATGGTTCCTGGTCAGCAAGGGCACTGCCCACATGAAGGTCACCCTCAGCTCACAGCTCTCCTTCCCTTACCACAATTCCAATTATACAAAGCCTATTCTATTTAGGTCTGAGTGTTTATGGTCAGCTAATAATTGTATTGCACAATTGCATAATAATGTATTGCACAACTTCTGGAAAAAGACTGTGCAGTAGAAGTACTGAAGAAGACACCAATACAAAATGCTTAGGGTCTAGAAGTTACGTTATCCTCAATAATCTATGTTCATGATGAAACATTTTAAGATTGCTAACAGCACACGCACATAAGAAATTAATTAAATAGGATGCTGAAGAGTCCAAACCTGATATAAAGCAAGAGTGTGTCCATATCTCTGGAGCGGCCCTTTGGATACAGGTACTACATTCCATATACTGCTTTCCAAGTTGTAGCTAGAAGAGAAATAAAAAAGTAAACATTTTCTAACTGCAGAGAAATAGGGAATTTCGTATACGTGAACTTCTGTTTGGCAAAGTGTGCACAGTTGATCAGTCACTGTTTCTGACACCGTAATTTGTTAACAGCAGTAACACAACCACTTTTAACTGTTGCAACAGTGTCTACCGTCTGAATTGCTCATCAGTGGAAACAGAAGCAGCTCTTTCAGGGACCAATGAAAAAAATCTCAGAAAATAGGACTGTAATTTAAAAAGAGTTATGAAACTTGATTGCTAAGCTCACACACAAAACAAAAACAAAACACCCACAGCACTAAACTCCTTATGCCAGCATCTTTTATATTACTTAGAAAATATTGTTGAGCAACCTCTCAGCTGTATGGTTGATTTTAATTTCCATTAAATTTTAATTAACAATTAATCCATTAATGGATTAAAAATCATCAAGATTGAGAAGTAGTAAAAAAAATATGAGAGAGATAGAAAAGGAAATCATCAAAAATTATGGATTTCTTTTAAATTGCTTTTTGATGATTGCAAAGGTGTGGAAGAAAACAAGATGCAGACAAAAAAAAACCAACAAACGTATACTGTTACCTTCATTTACCAGATTTAATGTCTGTACATATACAGAAGTCACCATATAAACTGTCATAAATACAAAAAAGTGAAATATGGATGACCTGCCTAATCCTACTGGCAGGATACCAACAGGCTAAGTGCATGCCTTAACTACAAGCCTCCAATAATTATAAAGTAACCTCAATAATGCAAGTAGCATTCTAGATGTACTATCTGAAAAGTATCAGCACAAAGATTTCTTCTGCTGTTTTATCACTATAAACAATTTTAACGGTTTGCAGCAAAGCACAGTGACAGTTTTCAGAAAACGGAAGAAATAACCCATTACTATCACATATAGACTGATGTTACCTGTATTTTAAGTTTTTTTCAATTGTAAGAAAATTGCAAGCAGAAAATAACACTGTCAATAGAGAATCTAAAAAACACCTAAAACTTTCAGTTAAACTTCAGGACAGAGGATACCTCCCTGGTAAACCTGTTGTCCCTAAGGCACATCAGAAGGGATATGACAAAGGAGACGTCACTTACTTCAGCACCATTTGGAATGAGCTGTAGTTAAACGTGTATCCACCAATGACCCACATGAATTTCCCGTGTAGCACTGCCTTATGGGAAGCGCGGCCCACAGAAGGGCTGAAGGGCTTTACGTTTGGTAGAATCCAGTACGACTCCGTGGAGGGGACGTTCAAAGAACAATCTGGACCTGTTTTGTAAACAAATGTGCAATTTGTACAGTCTGTTAGACAGAGATGTTAAAGCCAATAAAGCAGAAGCAGGGGAGGCTTAATTACAGATGTCAGGATTGCTCATTCTGATAAAATACGGTATACACTTTTATGTTTAACAGATGCTCAATGAAAAAAATTGACAAGGGACGTCACTCAAAATGAAAGTGTTAGCTTAGCTCAAATAATAATGATATATTTCTGCATTCTTCTCAGAAAACATACTGTATGAGTCACCAATTGAAAGAAAAGGTAATGCATCCTACTTTTAGATGCTGTATAGGTCTAAAATGTGTGTCACAGTATACATTAAATGTTATCTCTGTAGAAAAGTTATACTGCATTTGAACTAACCAGAGTAAGCTTGTATCAAAGCAAATAACATTACAGTAAATTAAGTTACAATATTGATTATACTGTACTAAATCTCAGAAACCAAAATTCACCCTTTGCCAATGCCATTCTGCATTGTCTTTCAAAAGTAAAATATACTGTAAAGTGCTTTATAAAAAGAATGCTTTGAGTATTTCAATTTTATTAAGTGTTGTCACAGAATCACAGAATATTAGGAGTTGCATAGATCATTCTACAAAGATACCAAAACCCACAATTATATATACTTTCAGAACATACTTTAGTCAATTATTTTTGCTAAACAAAGTCAGCAAAATGTGTCATTTTTAAGTTGCATGATTATTTAAATAATGAATAGCAGAATTATCTGTTTTTCATTTGTTCTGTAATAACCAACATGTGATCGCTTCATCATTAGTTTATACTCTCGATGTTGGAAGAAGTTTAAAATCTTGTTATTTAAAGCTGAATAAATTCAGAACTTCACTAAAATAAAAATTACTTTTAAAAAAGACAGCATATGCACTATTTGCTTATTATTTGCATTACTGACTGGCTTTATTTCTAGACTCACTGAATTTTTAGGACATTAGTGTGTTCTACCTTAAGCATTATCAATCATGGAATTGAATGTCTTATCAGTGATGGCATACAGATACTGTATGACAGCTAAATTATTTCTGTAGTTTGATGCAGAGACTACAGGCAATGCCTGCCTGGGATAAACCCTTCCCTCAAGCTACTGGACACTACTAAAAACCAAAGCTGTTGAAGTCAGACCAGGCATAACTTTTTTCAGAAACTCAGTGATAAAATGCTAAAAAAGGAAAACACAAAAAACCAACCTAGCCTGCATACCAAGTGTCACACGTGACATCAACTTCTTAAAAAGTTCTAGGGGAGATGTGCAAAACTACTGGCCTGCTATGCTTCTGTTTCTAC